TATATRYATAKGTATAAATGCACCAGYCAGGCAGTGTCCTCTCTAAACMATCCCAAGGGATCTATTACCAAGAACTGAGTTATCCTGGCCTCCGGGGGTGGGCTGTAACACTTCCCAAGTTCAAACATTGATGTCTCATTACTCACGGCAAAACATCAGGGTGGTCAGCAACCAGCTTGCTCATTGCTACACACAGCCTTTCGTGCCGATCGTGGTTGATTTGGCCACCAGCTTTAATGGCTTCTGCATTTCTTTCCAACAAATCCAGCAGGATGGGCCGAACCTGACGGCTGATCAACAGAGTGCATTCTTTATCCAGCAATAACTGGGCCAAAATATTGAGGATGCACTGCCGGTCCTGCTGAGTCCARACCTAAARGAATSRGAAGTCAGAACAGAATGGAAATTGRTTTTGACTTCTGAAYTATTCATGCAGGAGTCAGAAYGAATTTCACATGAACAAATAGTTCAAAAACARAAGGGAATCCAAAATCCCGAAGCAAATACTCAATGGACACAGTTCTTTGAATTGAAGAAAAATATTACAATATAGAATGAGTAACATGCAGAATGATACACTAAATAGGAATTACAAAGTAGTTCTAAAATCCTAAATTATACTTTACAATTGAAAGATAAAGCAAACTTTTTTTAAGGATTAGGAAAATGTTATAACAACTAATATTTCTTTCTCCCTAGAATTTCCAATTATTTAAACACCTTGGTCTCGTGACAGCCACAAAACATTTAAAAATTTAAGTTTAAGTTGCTTCATGMTCACTACCTCATACAAAAAAAGAGGCATTCGATCAGTCATGATCACAGCCTTATTTCCACAGTTCTGACAGGAATTACAGCAAGCAATGGTCTAAAAAAGAAGCAGCTTGGATCTGCAGTTTTGRAGTTGAAATTCCTTATTTTTTTATAGTTATACAAAAATGGTCACTTAGTGCTTTAAAATATAAGGAAAAGCCGAAAAAAAGAAAAAACAAAACCAACACACCTTACTCCTCACATCTCCCTGCTTTTACAAAAGGTAAGTTTATCTGCTTCTCATCTGTCACAGCAGCATCAAAATTTTTTTTTAAATGGAGCAAGGCCCTGTTCATTACAAGGAATCAGATTTTGAGTGGCAAAATGACTGAGAAGCTGTTTAAAGGCCGAATGACTCAAAAGAAACAGAAATAAACTCCACTGGAAAAAAAAAAGTACCTCCAGTTTCCAAATCAATTATGTCTTTAGCTACTCAAAAAAGGCACAATAGGGTGCTTAATTTATTAACCAGAGCTTTCWATATCAAGCAAAGCCAGTTAACAATAAAATAGTAAACAATGAGACTGACTGAATAAAATTCTATATTTATATGTCCACTGTATAACAAACTCATGCCATTAGCAATTTTGCGAGAGGAAGCAGATTTTTAATCATTGTGAGCAGTACCCTTAGGACATATAAAACTGTTCAAAAGTCACAATGGTGACATTCTTATTTTACAAAGAGACTGTCTGATTTCAGAGCCGGAATTAAACATTTTATGGAAAGGAAGAATACTATCAGAGTGGTTTTCTTTAACTAAACACGGCTTTATGAAATACCAGCTTTCTCAACCAATAGCAATAGACAGCTGATCTGAAAGTGTTCAAGTCTGGGACAGTAAATCTGCACATGTGGCTCCAAACTTTAAGAACGCATCCCAAAAGGCTCTGCCCGCAAACATGGAACACAGACACACATTGGCTATTATTAATGAGACACATAAAGCAGGCACACCGCCAGCACTGACACCTGGAATCACACACAATCCCAGCTGCTGCTCCAGCAGCCCATTGCACATCTCCTTCCAAGCCTGCACAGTACATTTCTCAGTGCACACAAGGTGCAGAAATCTTAAATAATACCCAGCTTAAACCAAACTCTAAATTCATAAAAGAAAGGATCACAGCAATGAGCAATCTGGTCCCATGTGAAAGGCACATTTCTGCWCATGATTCACAGGTTACACCAGACACAGATTTAACACTGGGATACTTCTAAAGAGTCGGAGCATGTAAGGGCCACACACAGGAAATCTTTCTTCCCCTCCAACACAGGAACTCACATTTGTGCCTCTGTTCCTGCACACAACAGCTCTGCCACTGTATGACTGTGCAGCAGTCAACATGATCCAAATTAATCCCTCTCACAAAGTCATACATTGGGTGGGAAAATTGAATGGATTTTCCAAATAATCACACTTACTGGGTTTAAGATTACRGAAGTACCACAAAGGTGTGGTTTGGCCTTGGGAAGAAGCTAAAAGAAAACAGATTTGGCAGCTGTTCAGATCAGCAAGATAAACCAAAACACGAGCCTGCACTCTTCCTATAATCCACACAATTCAAGGGGGGGAAAAAAGCAGGGGTGATATGCAGTCTCACAGGGAGTACAGGYTGGAACTTCCTAAAACTCCTCCAAYACATCTTTGACAGAGTTGACCAGATCCCTCCCTCAAAAGAGAGGATGTAAGCAAGAAGTTTCTTGTTGATTTTGTATCATTCACATACTGTGTCTCAAAAATCACAGCTCTTCAAAAACTAGCAGGAGTTGTCCAAGATGGAACAAAGTGCAACATACCTTCCCTTATTTCTAATGTTACGTGATGCAAAGCCTAACTGATCTTTCAAATAAAATGCTGAAGTCCTCTCTACTGAAATTACATGATCACAGGGAACCAAAATACATACATTTGCACAAAATTCATTTGGAATTCTATGCAGGAAGACTTTCTGGCAGACCTTTGGTAACACAGCAGAGAGCCAAAAGCACATTCCAGCAGTTTGTGGAGACCTGTTGCTTCTACWGTTTGCTTAAGTTATCCAAAAATGTAAAAGTGGGAAACAAAGACTGGTTCAGGGAGCTTTTTATCCCATCTTCCTCATTAAGAGCACAGAAATTTGCTGTATCTTTGCAGAGTTCATGGTATATAAAAATAATTTACAGCAASGGCTCTAATTCTATTACATACACAAGCACAGGGAACAAAACCTTTCATCACCACATGAACGGTACCATAACTATGAACCTAAAGGACTGTTCCTTACTAAATAGTTGTGGGTAAGTTTCCTTCCTTTCGGAGTACTGAAGAAATAGGTTGGCAGAAAGACTTAAGGAAGGTGTAGAGCAAAGAGAGCTGTAGATTTCCAGAATGCATGCTTCCTGGGCTGCATACAAAACAACTTGTAGGAAATCAGGTATGATGTTTAAAGCTGGAGTTTATTTTTTGACAAGATAAGCCTAAAATAACCCCAGGGCTGCAATTTCCAASCCTGGAAACAGCAATTCAGTTTTCAAAAGGATGTGTCACTGTTAAGTAATGTGCTGTTCCAGAYTCCCTCTATATAATCACTCTTCAATAATTTGCACCTAGCAAGCCATTTAAAGCTGAAGCATATCTCCAAAAGTCACCAGAAGSGAAAGGACACRGTCTCTTTCCCAATCTCAGATCTCRGTGACTCACTTCTRGTTCACTGCTCCATCTGTCTGCTACAACAAGCATTCACATCATCCCTGTCTCTGTTTCTCCGCAGTTACTCTCTCTTGAAAAGCAACTCTTCATCACTGCTTCCCACCAATTAGCTTCAACTCAGGAATATATATTCATGTCAATTTTACTTTGATCCTGTGATTTGCAGCGACAGAAGAAAGAGCCATCTGTCTACCAACAAAGAACCTTGAGTATCAGTATGAAAGCCTTCCCCAACCATAACTGAGACAGCAACTCAGACTGAAAGCCAAGATTCTGAAAAAATATGATACTTCAGACTTTTCGCCTTCAAACAACTGGGACATTTCCTAGACACTCAAAGAGAAATAGAGACTGTGAGCCCCAAAAATGTGTACACATCTTAGGGGCTTCAAAAGCTCTATCATGAAAAGTATCAATAAAATAACATTTGATGTGCTGATATCCTGTTATTACATGTCTTCAAGCATTTCAGCGAGAGAAATGAGATTGGCYTCAACTCTCCCAGAAAGCAGGTGTGCTTTGAAGAGTTAAGGCAGCCAAAGCAAAGCCTAGAAAATCCATGCCTCTTTTTTATCGCACATGCTGTTTTAAGGTAACTAAAGAAGGCACGCAAAAAGCATCAGGGTAGSGACTAGTTACTGTCTCGGTGCTTGATAACAAAATGCCACCTCTCGCTRTCACGCTTCCAGAGTCACCTTAGGGCACATGGAAGGTACCTAAGATTCTAACAGCGGGGCCGAGCGAAATAGGAAAGGTACCAGGATACAGGAGAGCGCCTGCCTCATGCGCTTCACCTGTGCATCCCTGAAGGGGAGGGCTACCAACAACACCGGGGGGAGACAGACAGAGAGGGGCAGGAGGGAAGGAGGGAGAGAGAGGGAGAGAAAAAGGGAGAGTGGGGATTAGCTCCCGCCGTCCGCCCGAGGGCCAGGGACGGGCTGGGGGGGTCGGGCACACACAAAGTGCCGGGAGGAGATGGCGGCACGGGGCGCGGGGGAGACAGTGCGGTGCGCTCCCTTCCCTCCACAGTGACCCCTGCGAGACCCGCCCGGACGGAGGGAGGACGGGCGCCCGGGGGCTGCCGCCGAGCCCCGCGCCGCCTGCTTCTCACCTGCTTCGCCAGGAACCTGCTCAGCTCCGCGCTACTCTTCTCGTTCCTGCGCGCCACCAGCCGCAGCGGCTCCGCCAGGCGGAACCGCAGGTCCGCCGCCATCCCCCTCCCGTCCCGCTGCTGTCGCTGCTGTCGCTGCTCCCGCGGCCGGGCAGACCGGCGGGAGGCGCGCGGGGGGCGCAGCACGTGCGGCGCGCGGCGAACGCGGCACGGCACCAGCAACTTCCGCTCTGCCGCCGTCACGGGAAGCGCGGTCACCGCCCCGCCCCCCGGACTACAGCTCCCGGCGTGCACCGCGCCACTCCTCCCCGCTCCTCATCGCGGGCGCCGTCCGGGAGCGGAGCGAGGCGCTCCCGTTGGCTCGGGGCGCTGCAGGACCGCGCGCGTGGGGCCGCGATCGCCGCGTCCTCGGCCTGCCCGGCTCCCCGCTTCCCCGAAAGCCATCTGCCGCTGCCGCCGCAAGACTCSCCTGTCCGCGAGCCCTTTATATCTGGGTCAGGGAGGCGGCCGAGGGCGGGTGGCCGCGGCTCGGGCCACAGGAGCGTTACGCCCCCGGCGGCAGCCGCTCGCGGAGGCCGAGCGCGGCCGYCGGGCGGTAACGATGTCCCTGCAGGGGTTTGGCAGCGGCATCGCCGACAGAAGCAGCCGCCGGGATTAAACCTCGGGCTTTCCGGGAGCACTGCCGCAGCAGCAGGGAAAGGCACCAGGTGAGCGCGTGTGTCGTGCGGCGCTGCCCCGGGCAGCCTTCAGCGGCCGCAACACCGGCCTGCGTGACCAGCGAGTGCCGTGAGCTCCGCACCGGAGCAAGCGGGAGGGTCCCGGCTCGTACCGCCGGGAGCAGCGCGTGGTTTCCCGCGCTCGGGGCCGGGCCGGAATGGAGCCCGCGGTCGGGAAAAGGCCAAAGGGGCGGGGCCACGGCGGAGGGGGCGGGGCGYGGCCGCCCCACGCGCCTCACTTTGGCGCCAACTGCTCGGGGC